GTTATAGGCGAACAGTAGGGAGGCATCTGGAGCTGAAAAGAGACGTAATATGATGAGGATGTCAAATCATCCTTCATCCCCGTTCACTGTTTGCCACAATGCTCCATCTGTACCAGTGACAGAGTCTCACACCAGCTCTGAACCACTGGAAACGGCTTTTTTTAAATGCTGATCAGGATTTGTGACTCATGCCTGACATTAGTGGCTGGAATGCACTTCAAGTGATCTTTTGACCTTATGGTTGCTCTCTTAAAGTTTTACTGTCCATATAATTTATGGCTAAAAGTCCGGATGATCTAGTGTGCACAGCACTCATCCGTATGCAGACTCCTATCAGCCAAACCAGCAGGTCACATGCCAGCATGCAGGCATGTTCCTGGACTGGGCGTCATAACTTTAGAGCTCTATTCTTAGCATGCAGCGTTCTTTGTTTGTTTTCCCCGAATGCCTCGGTTCTCCCGATGTGGACAAAGCAGGCCCTTAATTAGCTTAATCAGTCCTCTGTGAAGCTCCCCATATGGTCAGCGACATGTTCACAGTCAGGCTCAAAGCTGTGTGCAGTGGCTACATCTGAAAACATGTTTTTACTGAGCTTCTCTTAGGATGAAGCCAAAAAAGGAATCTATTCATAACGCCACACCAGCCAACAACACGCAGTCCATCAAAACAAGTAGCGCTCGACAGGCCGGGCTCAGGCTCATCCCCTCGATTTCCTATCGTTAGGACAACCAGTGATGAAGCAATGACCCCGATGTAACATTCTTGTGGAAAAATAAATGGCCTGGAACAAAAAACAACTGCCCTGCAGCCAGAGCGAGGACTGTAGCCAGAGCGACACTGTGGAGGAAAAGCAAATATTGTGTTATAGTAGTTTTAGTTTGTTCCCAAACCCCAACCCTTTCACAATAAATCCTGCTGTGATTTTACTGCAGTAGGAGCGCTGCTGTTATATTTTTGGCTACTGGCTTAATACCAGCTCACCCGAGGGCTTCTTTGTGCACAACACTCGCTGAGGAGTTTACATTTAATTTGTTCTTTATTTGTGTTTTGCTTGAACATGGACTGCAAACTGATTTTCTCTCCTTTCCCCCACTGTTAGAATACCCTGGATGCCTACCCCTGCGGCTCCGACCACACCCCCAGCCCCATGGCCAGCCGGATTCCTGTGGAAGTAGAAACCATATTAGACAGCCCTTCTGCCCGTCTGACTGCTGTGGCTGTCAGCAGTAGAGTGGGACATACCATCGCCTTCCTGGGAGACTCCAAAGGGAACTTACACAAGGTAACATAGCTCATCGTGTTTCAGGACGTGCACAGACAGGTCGAGCTCGGATTCTGGTCTTAAGAAAGAGCATTTTGTGCCAACTTTGATGTTCTGCACAGATTGTGGTGGAATGCTGAAAAAAACGGTCTTTCGTGCTCGTTATCTTGAGTTCAAACCCTGAACATGCTGGGTGTATTAACTGTAGTACATATGGAGAGATCAGCTCAGCAAACATTGAGCTCATGTCTTCCCTCTGTTCACCTCCAGACACTGGCTGCTCTCTGCTGTCAGCCATGCAGGTCTGAAATCTTTGTGTTTACAGACAGACGGGCTACACTTGGTACACCCGGAGTAATCTCTGCAACATAATCCTGCTGGCGGTGGAGTTTCTAGCTGCAGTCTTATCTTTTAAACAGTGTGCTGAAACATGAGACCAGTGCAGAAAAATAAACAGGAAAAACACCTGATCCGTCCACTGATGTGCTTCTGTGTTTTTAGCCATTCGTATGTTTAATAGCCACTGCTCCATGAGAGAATTTGTTCATAATCTTTCCGCTCTTGCTTGATGCTGTTTATTTAAACCTAAAAGAGCTTTTTAAATGCCAATGTGAGCCAGTAACTGGACTTTATTAAGATCACTTTTAGCCACTGAAACTATTTTTTGTTCGATAATTAAAGTTAATAAATTTAATGTGGTTAAAAATAATGATGATGTTATTAATTATTTTCTGCTTTTTGTAAATACTAAATTAAAATTCATGATAATAATTTTTTAGCCTTAAAAATATCATTTTGATTAAAGAGCTTGTGCTGGTGGATTAACCATCACAGAAACATACAGTTGA